TATTGTTTGTGTAGCGGGTACGGATATGGTTTTTGCGCGATAGGCGTCGGGTATGTTAGAACGATGTTATGTTCGAAAAGCATTGTGCGTCCCACTGTGTCATTAAATATCGTAGAATAATTTTTTATAGTGCGCGTTAATAATGTGTGTCACCTGCTATCTCTAGTGTTGATAGATCTACATCGGGTAGCGTGTGCCGAGTACTCGCTTTACAACAAGCTGTAGTGCGTCGCGTCGCGTCGCGCCCAAGTGAATTGTACCTGCAGCGTAGTCCCAGGAGACTTCTTGTTCTGTTAGAAAGTCGTGTCCCAGGAGTATATCATAGTACAGATTCTCTAAGATAACAGCCGTAAAAGTGATTGTCAGATTTGCGATGTTCGCGGTAAAGGTAGCGGTGCCGGCGGTTGGTGTCATGTGGCCGTCTGCTAGTCTAACCGCGTGTGTGGGTCCTTTGCGCACAATTCCGTATTTATGGGTTATTGCCGGGGTAGTATATGACTTTTGCGCTTGTGAGTCAAATAATGCCGTCACAAAACCGTTGTAAAATTCAAGTTCCACAACGGGGGTTGTAATTTTACGCGGGCGTGTTTGTTTGGCAAAACTCGGGTGGTTTACGGTTCGAACGGGGAGCGTCTAAACGGTTTGTCCGTCGGCGGTGTCAATCGCCATAAGCAGGTAGACCGTCTCGGCTAGTATCCCCTCCCCCACTGTGTCCAAAATAATTTTGGGTATACGACTCGTATAATACGGGGACTTTTTGTTTTCTCGACCGTATGATTAATTTTTTTAAATAACATATCCAAATATCATAACCTAATTGTTATCATTTGACGTATCGTTGAAAAAAGTAGGTCAAATTATAGCAGAGAAAATAAATGATAGTCACAAAAAANAGTGAATTTAAAGGGGCTACAGCTTGTCCTGCGTCGTAAGCGAAGGGCCGTAGTCGTGGTTGGTGGCCCGGTGAATGGTCGAGGTGAAGTGGAAGGTCAATAAAAATTTCATTATTTTGGCCGAGAGGAACGCGCTCAATTTCGTTATCAATGACGAACGCTGCGCGTTGGATTGTGTGTTTGATAGTGGGTGATCGGAATTGTATTTTTGAGCCCGGAGAGTGGACTAATTTTTCCGTGGCTGATGCCCGTTTCCCGAAACTGTCGGCCTATTAGGGCAACTGATGTGCCAATGCTGCTGCGCAATATCGGCAGGGTCGGGAGGACGTTCTGCGTTAAGTGCGCCCGCCCGATATCGAAAAACTTGCGGTGGTTTGGGAGGCGCAGGAGGCGGTACGTACGGCTTTAAGTTGGCTTTTAGCCTACCCGTGCGTAAGGACCTGTCGAGATCGTTCACGATTACGCACAAATCGTCTAGCGTACTCGGACTTCGCATTTTCATGTTACCGTAATATTCGTCGTAAGAGACTGACTACATGATCTACGATGTGCTGCTCGGAACAACTGGGGCATGCTCGCATCGCTAAACATTGTTTATTTATAATAAATTCTGTCATACACTGATGGGGCCCCTGTTGTGTTGTCATGAGTTAGTTTTCCAGCTCGGCTTGGATGCTATCATTAACGAACATTACGAAAAACTCCCTTGAAAATTGGCGCAGGACATGTTGTTCAGCTTAATGGACTCCCACCAAGTAAACGCCGTGTCCCTTAAAAGCTGTACCCCGGTTTTCACCCACAAATAGTAGTGGATACCGGATTGAGTCAGGAGGTTTTCTAGTTGATCCAGAAATTCCCTCGGGTCTTCCTTATATTTTCCCGTGAACTCAGGAGACGGAGGACGTATAACAGTAGGATTACTGGGCGGTACAGTCGCCAAATGTGTAAATGAGCGGGTTGATGAGGACAGTGACAAATCACGTGTCGGTGGCATGAATTAATTTGACCCGAAATGTCCCGTGTGTTGTGGGCGTGCGTCTAAATGAAAAGTTGATTCGTGCGTGCTCGTTTGAGGTAGTGATGGAGACGTGCGCATAGTCTGGGCGGGTAATCGTTGTATATTGCGCGCTTCGCGCTCTTCGATCTCCGTCAAACGTTGTTGTAATTCCGCGTTATTATGGGTCGTGCTGCTCGTCCTGAACGTTACGCGTATTTGTTCCGTCAAGTGCGCGTATCAGTACGATTTGTTTCGACTGATCCTCGCGTCATCTGTGCGGTGGCGAACGGATTTTGTATGGTTTCGTTGTCTAAATTGCGACTTGTAATTGTGTGTGAGAGGGACGCCGTGGCCGTGTTAAAATTTAAAAACTAAAAAAAATTAAACTCAAAAGCTACAAGAAAATAACTAAAAAGTTGCGGATATCTGCGTGTTTTTCGTTATTTGCAACTTTTAAGTAATTTTTTATAGCTTTTGAGTTTAATATTTTTTAGTTTTTAAATTAATAATATTTTTAATATAGTTTTAATTTTATTTAATTAAATTTTGTATGAAATTGATAATTAATAATTTAATATTATATTTTTATGGAGAAATTATTAAGTACTAAAATTGCACAATTTTGTGAAATAAATGAAATATCATTAAATGGCTCTAATCCTAATGAGTTTGATTTTTTGTTATAGTTAATATGAATATTTAAAACAAATTATTTAAAGAAAATTTTAAGTATCAAAACGAAAAAGAAGCGAACCAAATAATTTGAAAAATTTTCATTTGGAAACGGCTACTGAAGCTAACTATGAAGAACAAAAACAATCAGTTGAAGCGTATAGGAGGCAATCAATTTATTTCCCAATTATTGATACCATTATTAAAAATTTAGAGTTCAGGTTTTCAAATGAAAATCTTAGTATGGCTAAAGCAATTGATTATTTTATAAATATGGATTATGAAAATAGTCAACATTTTATTCTACATTATACGATACATATTAAATAAGTTATTAAGTACCAAACGTAATAAAATTATTACATTTTAGAAAGTTAAAAATATTCTATGATTTTAGGACTTAATAAATTCAAACACCGAATGCTTAAAATAAAAAATGCTAGTAGCAAAAGATTGCTTACAAAACAGTAATAAATGAAATAAAAGAAATTCTAAATAAAGAAATATTTCCGATTGTACACAAGTTAATCCAGGTTGCTTTAACTATACCGGTTAGTTCTGTGACATCCGAACAATGTTTTTCCTCCATGTGGAAGTTGAAATACTGGTTGCGATGCAGCTTGTTGCAACAACGTTTTACGTTTAAGTATTTTAAATATTGAAAGGGTTCTTGCTAATTGGTATGTTTTCGAAGAAATTTTAACCATATTTGCAAATGTTGACCAAAAATTATGTATAACACATTAAAATTACTCTATTGGTATAAAATAAAAAAAAAATATAATATAATCAAATAATATAGTAAAAAAATTAAATGTGTTATATTAATTTTTCCAAAAGCGATATTGCGAATATAATAACAGTATTATATTTTAAATATTGAGGTTATGTAAAGTTGAAGATGTGGGGGGCGATGCCCTCCACAATTTTGTAAGCGGTTCATAATTGTAGCACTCCAAAGATTTGAACTCAAGTTGCGCCACTGCGGATATACAATTTATAATTTCTTAATACTAATATATTAGTAATAATATATTATTATTTTTTTATTAATTTTTTAAATCATGTATTTAACTTCATGCACATTAATTACTATTATTATTATTATAATTGAATACATCCAAAAAGTGTTATTTCCAAACATCCTAATAAAATTTAATTTTTAAAATTTTTGGGATTAATCATTTTAGCTTCGATGCGAAGCTGAGAAGGTATTAATTTTACAATGATGTGTTAATTACTTTTTTTTTTGTGTCTGTTTCTACTTTTTCTCAGTTCTTACTGGACCGATTTTTCTTGACGATACGTCAAAAAATCACAAATCGTATCTAGTTGAAGAAATTACCCTCAAAAATTGAAAATTTTGCCTTCGTTCCCCGTAAATAGTGAAAATCCCCAAAAAAAATTACGATATTTTGAATTGGTAAATTCAACAGTTTTTTTTTTCTTAAAATTGTCATAACATTTTGAAAAATGAACAATTTAAAATAATTATTTTTTATATTGATACCTTAGACATTTTTCTTTTCATTTGATATATATAAATTCTTTGGTAAATCTGACCCTTTACCTGCCCACGGGGGGGTTTCAAAATAGCAACTTCTGCACAAAAATTTAACTTTTTCTATTTAAGTTTTGAAAATGTTCCAGAAATACTCCGAGCTTCAGACATATGCTAAAAGAAAGTTGATGTTATGTACAATAAGTTCAAAAAAAAAGTTGTCCCGACTACTTATTTTCTATGTGAAAATGGTTGCCGTAGTTAAAAAACATGCAATTTTGATGTTAAAATGTTTGGTATTGTATTTTAATTTATTTTAAAATACCTTATAAGGGAGTACACTGATTTTCATGAATATTATATAGAACTAATTGACATAGAATATAATGTTAAACTTATTTCAATTTTTTTTTTGTAAGTCGAAAAAATTCATTTTAACATTTGAATCAGCTTAAATGTAAAAAAAGGTGTGTCAATGAGAGATATATCCCCCTAATCCCTTCTCATTTGATAGATACTATTAGGGTGACATTATAAATGTGCTTAAAACTGGCCAATTGTTAAATTAAAAAATATAGGGAACTAAAAGATACTAATAAAAAGTATCAATATTATTTTCATTTTTCTATCTATGGTATCAAGAAAAAAGCAGACGGTCAATGCTTACGTCGCGCATCTTTTTCTTAAATATTTAAAAATGTTTAATATTAGTATTGTAATATTTTACTTTTTATTTTGTTACATAAATTATGAAGTGTTACCTATTTGTTTGTATGAATTTAGCCAAGAATTGTACTTTTTAAAATTCTGTAGACATTTGTTTTGTAAAGTATGTTTAGACAAATGGTTACAAACCAATAGTACATGTTCAAAATGTCGATGTCCAATCATTGAAAATAATGGTAATTTAAGCAAATTATACACGTAGTTGGTATATAAAAATTACTTACAGTAGTGAAAAAAATTTACACTAACCCAATGACACTCTTGAAAGTATGCCTTTGTTGCTCTTTGATCTTTTATTAAATAACTAAAAAAAAAATTCGATTGGTAACTGTCCAAACTATTAAGTGATTAAAATTTGTAGTCTTCTAATTCATACTACAGATGCATAATTACATATACTATATACAATTATTAATTTTATGAACTCTAAAATTTTAAGTGTATATATGTCTAAACGAACCTGCACATTTAAAACTTTTGTAACATTCAATAAAAACTAATTAATAACTAAATATCAATAAGTCGAATATTAGTATTATAAATATCAATATATATTAATTTTTGTTTCTAGATTATTATTCAGGAAAATTGCTTTTGATAATGGACAATCTTAGTAATCTTGAAATCAAATATGGTAATACAATGAATAATTTCTCTTAAATTTGAATACCTTTCGCGGTATAAAATAAAAATACAAATCCTACTATATATTTATAGGTCAAGATGATTGTGTTGAACCCTTAAATGGTAATCAAAATGTACTACATATAGGTGTCACTATAAATGAATGCACTGGACTACAAGAAACTTTCATCAAAATCAAAAATATACTTTTTAAATCAACTGTTTTCAAATCTGCAATTAAACTTTTTCTATCACTTCTAATTTTTTATATTATTATTAATTACATTTAAAATAATTAAAAGAAAAAAATGTGTTTTCACATTATTACTGACTTTGATTTTTAATATATTAAAAATAATCAGTCCAAAATTTCATTTTTAATCAATTTTTTTGGTACTTTAAAGTTTATGAAAAATTTTGATAAAGTTTTGTGAAAATTTATAGTAAAAAAATTTTAATGATTTACTTTAACTAAAAGAATCAATCAAAACAAAAATTAACTCAATTGATCGTATTATTAAATTTTATTATATCTCATATTATATATTTTATTATTTATCATATCAAACTTGATTCGTCAATAAATACTTTGAAAACATTAGAAATGAATGATTTTAATTTTCTGTATAAAGAACATAAGACAAGTAACTGTTTAGTTGATAGATTAGTGATAGATAGAAAAGTGCGTCAGATGAAACGGGTATATAAAAATTGCTTATAAAAAAATAATAATATTGATCCATACATTTTTCCGATAGTTATAGCAATATAAAATTAATATTATAAAATAAAAAATCAAGAATTTTTTCAAGAAAATCGTACGTTTTTCTTTAACTTTGATGTCCGTTTTCACCACGAAGACAAGTCCAGAGGTCAACTTTTTTTTCAAATTAAATTATATTACGTAAGCTTTAATTTAAGGTATATTTTGGTGTCAGTTTTTTTGGAACATTTTCAAAAGTTAAGTTGAAAAAGTTAATTTTTTGTGAAAAAGTTGCGATTTTGAAACCCTTCCTGTGGGCTGGTCAGGAGTCAAATGTTCATAAAAATATATCAAAAGATAGGTCAATACCTAAGGTATCTATTTACAAAAAAAATTATATTGATTTGGTCGTTTTCAAAAAAGTTATGACAGTTTTAAGTAAAAAAAATTGAAAAAATGTTGAAAATTAGTGATTTTTAAATTGTTTCGCGAATTTCCTTCATTTACGGGGAATGTAAAAAATTTTTTCAATTTTGATGGTAATATCATAACCTAATTGTTATCATTTGACGTATCGTTGAAAAAAGTAGGTCAAATTATAGCAGAGAAAATAAATGATAGTCACAAAAAAATACCTTCTCAGATTTGCATCGAAGCTAAAACCTAAAATATTGTAAAATAATTTTAATATGAACAAGACATTTTTTCTCGCGAGGGACGACTAAGGTGATGGGATCCTTGATCCTTATTGAAGTTATTGAATCTAAATGAGATAAAAATTAAAGGAGTTGAAAATTTATTATAACATAAAAAGATTTAAGAAAAAAATGTAAAAAATTCCTTACCATACGCGAGTTGGAACCTTGTACCCTAAGCGTGTAAAACACAACCTTGGCATTATTTAAACGGTTAGAGTAGTTTAAAATGTGTATGAATACACATAAATATATATTCAAATAAATTATTTGTTACTGCGTAATGAAAACATTATTTATAGATGCTTCCATCAAGTATTAAAATTTTAATACATACATCTCTAATATTTTTAAAAAATAAAATAGTCCAATAAGAGTTAATAAATGTACAGATTAACTCAACATAATATATAAAAATATTTTCGGCAAATTCCAGCAAACTAGTAGTTAATAAATATTAAATTTAATTTTTTGATATTATGTGATCCCAGACCTTATAAATTCATTTTTGTTAAAATATGTATTTGTCATTCGTTATTTACTAGTCATAAAATATAATCCAATATAATGTATGTGACTTTTGTAATGTTAAAAATACATTTCATGAAATTTTTATTTCAAAAAATGCTATAATGTGTTTCAATATATCATTAACATACTATATTTATTTTATTTGTTATTAGAAGTATTTCTTATTTGCCAATACGCATAGATTCTACTCCAAGTCCTTATAATAACTGTTTTACAATCAATTTTATCAAATCTTAGTGTACATTTTTTGAGACTTAAAACAACAATGGTAAGTCAATTTTTTTTACATATATTATTATATAATTTATTTATATTAAATAGTTACATTATTCTCTAATTTTATTATATAATAAAATAAGGAAAAAACGCTTTCCTCGGAAAATTACTTAGCGTGTTTGGATTTTCAAAAATTTTTTTTACTCGGTCACGAGACTCCGAGAAAATTATTGGCGAAGGTCGGTAAATTTTTACTGTTCGCCCGCCAGCGTTTTAAAATGTCGACCGTTTTCAAGAAAAAGACTAGCTGACGTCATCGTTTTGTGACTTAAAGTTTGAAATTTTCACTAGACCCGCTCAATTTTTTTATTTTTAACATTGTTTGAGATATCATACAAAATCAATTCAATCGTATGGTGTTAATATTTGACATTGACTCATTTCTGCGCATATGTTTATAAAAACCCTTAATTTGTAAAATATAAATTTTAATGACGATTTAATTTGCTTTTCAATCCATTTTATATATATTAAATATATTATATTATATTATAGTATATATTAGAGTGCCCCCTATTTTAGAAGTTAAAAAATTTTATTTTTTAATATTCAAACAGTGTTGCCCGAGAATTTTTTCCTATTAGTTTAAGTATCAGATCTACAAAATATGAGCTTCATATAATATGATTATCAGGATGCACTCTAAGCTCAAAGTTTTAGAAAAATTCAAAATTTTGTTTTTTTTTTTATTTTCTGGCTAAAAATGAAATAAAATAATTAATAAAATACAGCTCATTACATAAATATAATTATAAAAGAAAACGATACCCGATCTCCGAAGAGACCCTTTTTTTTCTTCTAGCCAACGCTATGGAGCGAGTGTCCAGATCGCACCTGGTGTTTTTCATTTTTGTTGCCTTTATTTGTAGACATGGTTTTTGATACATTCGTATTTTTGTCCATGTTTAACTTAATTTTCTTTTTTCAGCAATTAAATTAAATTTTCTTATGAATTTTAACTGTAATATTTATTTTATTACGCGAGTAACTTAATTTTTCGCGTGTATTATATCCCCGTTCCTTAATCTAGACATGGGCTACGGTATGTTTTACATATCAACCACATACAACTTCAATTGTCATACTTGTATGACAATTGTACATAAACCACGAGGTATTATAGTCATTTTTACATATAACGACATAATAACTTAAATTAAACTATTAATTAACGTAAAATTAAATTCCACTTATGAAATCTGGTAATCATGTCTGATAAGTGTGACACCTCGTCTAAGTGGTGGCGACCCTTGCTACCATAGCTAGTCGTTATGCAAGGGGCAAATAAAATATGGCTCTAATGACCTTAATAGTATTTGTATGATGCGTTTTAGCCCTCAAAGGTGCCGACAAATTACGTCATCTATTGTTCTCAATAAGCAATGGTAAGTACTGATTGTGTGGTAACATAAGGCAAATCAGTGGCGGTGACGTTAAAATGACGTTGTATACGACGGTGTAGTCCAAGTTAGCGTGAGGGGCCCATTAGTGATGAGTTATAATGACGTTATCTTTGGTAGTCGTGCTTGGGGTGACGATTATTATGCTGGCGGGGGATATGTTATTTATTTTTATTAAATAAAACCAATGACTGAATGTCGGGTTGGTCAAAAAAAAAAAAATTTCATTTACCAGTTTAGATACACGCTAACGGTTCAACGTGCGTATAGTACACATCGAGTACGCGCGTTTGATATGTTACAACAACCTATATACCACCGTGCCAATTCACCCCCGACATTTTCTTTTAAGTTTAAGTCGTTATATCGTAAATGATGAATACCCTTTCCATGTGGTTCCACTACACATTCCAGACATTCCGACAGTTGTTGTGTTTGATAAAAACCATCGAACACGTGCATAACGCGTAGGCGCAATATATCACAGCATTACTACTACTACTAGCTCGTTTGTTATACAAATATATTATTTATACTATTAGAATAGAACGTTTAACGCAACCGTTTACAACGTGTACATTATAACTACAAGGTAGTTTTTTGCTTACAACATTGTCTATGTTGACTATAGTATATATTATTTATATACTGTTATATATAACACTATAAAAAATGTACTATACTAATACACCAATACGTTTTTCAAAAATCTAAGAGAGTTGTAGTATTTACACGCGTTGTAATCTACTAAAAAAATTAGACCATGATAATTTTTTCTACAAAGTTAACAAAATGTTTTATTAGTTGTGTTTTTTTTAAACACAAATTATTTTATGCTGTAAATACTCCATACGTTAGTTTATGTAAAAATTAAATTATTTAGTAGTAAGCAAAAAAAAAAAAATTAAAATAACAGAGTTACAGTGTCTATATTGCTCTAATATGTTTAATGGGTTACCCCATTCAGGGTGTATTTTACACCGAAGAGTTGAGTCGCACACAGTATCCAGAACCATATCTAGTAGAACGAGTGTTGTGCATAAGTGGAAATAAGTGTTACGTTAAATGGTTGGGTTTTGGACCGAAACTCAACTTATGGATACCGTTAACATATTTCTCACGAAAATTATTTTCAATATACAAGGGGTAGTGGCGACCAATCGTTCATTTGTGATCAAAGAAATGTCCGCTGTAGATTTGAACTCAATGTCTCTCGTTCACTGGGCGTTTAAAATGCCAAAATCGTTCGCAACCGAAGACAATACGAAAACTAATTACTGGGTAAAAAAGTATCAAGGTTTAGACGCAAATATCGGAGACGTCGAATATTCCGAGTTACCAAGAATAATGGCACTGCTACAATGTGAAAGTATCTACGTGAAAGGCGTGAAGATAAAACAAATATTGCAAAATTATTTACTCAGGCAAAATATTTACGACATCGAAGAATAGTGCCTACCACTACATAAATTATGTGATGAAATCCAACCACGTTGTATAAGACATATGAATAACCATAAAATGTGTATTTTATACAAAGTAATGTGTTTGAAACAATGGTTAACTGATAATTCATAATATACTTATGATTATTATTATTTTTTACATATACTTGATGTGTTACTTTATT